TCTGCAAATTGCACTGTCTTGTTTCCCTTTGCTGATCGATTTGCTTGTAGGTATTTGGGACTGTCAGTCCTCCCAATCTGTGGTCGAGTTTGTTCGGAGGGGTATCGCTGCAAAACAGGAACTTTACCGTATCTGTGAGAATATGATGGACAACTGCCTTGCTTCTAACAGTGAGACCGGAGGTGTTGGATGTGACAACATGACCATGATCATCATTGGCCTTCTTAATGGCAAGACCAAGGAAGAATGGTACAATCAGATTTCTGAGCGGGTAGCTAACGGCGACGGCCCATGCGCGCCGCCTGAATACGGCAAGTGTCTCGAGGATCCCATGGTCGCCGAGGGTTACTGACTGAGAGATGGTTGTTACAGCTGAATTCCGTGGGCCTGGTATCCGCAATCAATTCGAAGAAACCCCCGATAACTATGATCTTGAAAACGACCGCTCCCGCGGCTTCAGTGTCCGTTCCGGCCGTATCATTCTCCTAGGTGACGGCACTGAACTAATTCCCGAACAGAATGACGAGGAACTTTTTGACCAGAGGGAGGAAAATCGAGATGTCACAAATCATTTGCAACACGAGTCGCCCGATTCGTCGGCTCGAGGAGATCGTGAAGGTACCCCGGGACCCCAGTCGAAGAACGAGACCGCGAGTAAAGCTGAGGGGTCCTCGACTGCCGCCAACCTGTCCGAATCACCTTCAAGCACAAACAAGAACTCTTCTGGCAGCGAAACTGAAGCCACGGAGAAGTCTGCCTCCTCGTAGTGACGACGATTCATTTGCGTGTTCTTCCTCCCCGATCTGGTTTTGCGAATACATCCTGCGCGTGACTGAACGGCCCGCCCTTATCCTCCACTCTCAACCCTTTCCGTTTCCTTGACCCTCGCAATGTCTTTCGATATGACCTTCAAAGTCTGTGTCTTCTGTCACTAGCGACGCCCTGCGACTGTGGATAAGGCGAAATTCAGTGGGATGCTCCTCTAGCCCTGGCTAGGTAGACTTTTTTATGTCGTGTCGGAGGGATTCTTTGGGGGCTTTCCTGAGTGATAGGACGTTTCCTCTTCTATTCTGCTATGTTCTGTTTTTCCGAGCCGCAAGCGGCAGACCTCAACGAGAGTACGTTATTTTATGCTTTGATCCAACGCAAGATACCGCACAAAACACCCACCGATGATGAATCTTGATATCTCTTATGAATTCGGTTACCTTTCCCAACCCATTGCTCTTACGTCACGCTTTATCTTTATTCTTTTCCCTCTACCATTCTCTTCCCCTCATACTGTGATCACCCGCTGGTGTATCTCCTCATCATCGCGCTCTCCGACTCTGGACTTGGAGGGCTGCCCTGTGGGCCAGGAAAGCACTCGATCAAGAATTCTCACAAGTCATCGGCGTTGTAAATCGACTGGTGGATGAAGGGAAACGGGACAATACGGGTCTTTCTTCATATCTCTCGGCGTATCTGGAATGTCCATCTACAGCATCAACATCATTCTCGTCTGCGACGGGGAGGCACTGCCTTCCAATGCTTCAACAGTGGGGTCCAGGGAAATATGACGCATTCCAGTAGGCTTTATTTCTTTTTTGGATCTCTTCCGATATCGTACACAGGAGCCACCCACTAGAAGTAATATCTGAAGAGCTTGCGAATCGCCGATAGGCTGGCAGAACCAAATAGAATCTACTGGTAGTTCAAGGCAGAGAAGACTATGAGTTGTCAGATTCATGAATTGTAAAATTACACCCCCTCATGGCGACAGGATCCACCTAGGTAGATACCTTAGCTGCGCATTATTGAAATGGTTGTATGAATTACATTAATAAGAGAATGCCCATAGGTTGCATGCCATTTTCATACACCACTTATCTAAATGCTTTCGATAGCGCCTGGTACCCAGTCCATAGGTACCAACAGAAGTAACCTATTCAGTATCAGCAAGGTATCTGACTTTACCTTACCGTACCTTACTCCGTTAGGTAAGTGGAGTCTGATGTAATTGCTGCTCTCCGTATGTTGATAGAGCAGTCTATACCTTAGGTACCTAAGGTAACTCTGTTTATCACAAGGGTGCAAAAAATTCTTGTCCATTGCATATGACAATCCTCTCTCAGATGTTCCTCTTCCTCTCTGCAAGATCACCTATTCTACCCACGAGGATCGAAAAAAAGGATCTGAGACTCGGCCCCGTTAGTACTGGGCTAGATAGCTTCCTTCCGGGACTGTCTCCCGCTAACCTGATCAACCGATTAGTCTAGTCTACTCCGTGCTGCTCGTTCTTCCGCCTTCTGTCTGTCTCAGGGTCTTCTCCCTCTCTCCTTTTAATTATTATTAGACTAACTGACAAGCCTACCTTAGCTCTCAGCGCTTTCCCTGTCCCCATTTCCTTCTCCTCGATTTTTTTTTCTTCAACCTCCTTCTGTTCGTTGGTTGTCCAAGCTTTCAAATCTCTCATGGTTTTTCTCAACTAGATACCCTATATCTTTCAACACCCCGACAGAAGTAGAGCAGTGCTCCTCGGTCAGCCAACATGTCGTCTCCGTCCACTGCGGCCAAACGCAAGCGCAGTGCTTCTCAACATTTAACGGCCGACATTGCCAAATCATCCACAGCCGATCTTCTCCAACCATCGTCTCGCGATGCGTCCGGTGAGGAAGGAGACGACTCCGCCGATCCGATCACCCCGACAGCAAGCAAAAACAGGAAACATACTTCAATTGATGTGACCTCGACCGGGGTTCCCAATCCGCCTTCGAAACGGGCTCGGAAATCGTCCTCTGGCGATGCTCAGGCCGCCGCGCCCAACGGAACCACAGAATACTCCTCAGCCATCCATCAGGAAGATCCCGGCGAGCCATCTGAGACCACTGTAGCTAGTAGTGACATTGAGCATGGGGCGACGGGTCGACCGGGGTTGCACATCAAGACCGCCGGCGCCGATGCAGAAACGAGAGAGCGTCTGATGAAACCGCCCGAGAGAGCTGGGCTACAGCATCCCGTTGGGTACCACACCAATCCACCTCCGACGGGGCGACCGGTTCGCGTCTATGCAGATGGGGTTTTCGATTTGTTTCACGTGGGGTATGTCTACAATTTTTTCTAAATTACAGCTATTTTCTGCAGTAATGGACTTGATGCTCATTGCTGGTGGTTTTTTGGCAGACACATGCGACAGCTGGAACAAGCAAAAAAGGCTTTCCCCGACGTGTATCTCATTGTCGGCGTGACCGGAGACGAAGAGACTCACAAGCGCAAGGGTCTTACCGTGCTCAGCGGTCGGGAGCGTGCAGAGAGCGTCCGCCATTGCAAATGGGTGGACGAGGTGATCCCTGACTGTCCCTGGATCGTGACTCCGGAGTTCATTGAGGAGCATCAGATCGATTATGTTGCTCACGATGACCTACCTTATGGGGCTGCGGAAGGAGACGACATTTATGCACCGATCAAGGCTCAGGGCAAGTTCCTGGTTACGCAGAGAACTGAGGGTGTCAGCACAACGGGCATTATCACCAGGTTTGTCTTTCCTCTTCGTTTGGCAGACGTGGTTGCTGACCATTTCGTTTCATCCAGAATTGTCCGCGACTACGACCAGTACATTGCCCGTCAATTCAAGCGAGGTGCCTCGAGACAGGAGTTGAACGTGTCATGGATCAAGAAGAATGAATTGGAGATCAAGCGACATGTCATGGAGCTTCGAGACAACATTCGCAACAATTGGACCGCCACTGGCCAGGAACTGGGCCGAGAATTGCGACAGTTATGGCAAAACAGCCGGCCTGGCAGTCCTGCCCCGAGCGCCCGAAACAGCATGGACCTGGGCAGTGTGCGTGGTGGTAATGGTGGGCTGACCAGTCCTACTGGTGGCCAGAAATCACATGTGTCACGACTAGAAGCATTGGGTCGTCCTGACAGTCCAGTCGGAACAAACGGGAGAAACGAAGATTTTGCGACGGGCTACAGTTTGGGCTTGATCGGCGGTGTGCGAGCATGGGTTCGTGTTACCTTTTCCTGCCACGATGATAGAATCGAGTGTTGACCATATTTGCAGATGATGCGCAGCCGACGATCGCTCATGGAGAGCCGGCCTCACTCGCCCACCAGTGAGGACGATCCTGAGCCCGAGTTAGAAACGACCAACGGCCATACTGGTTCCGAGAGATCTTTGCACGCATCATCGTAACCTGTTGCGATCAAAAGAATTCTTTTCCTTGGACATGATTCTGTCTTTTGCGTCCCTGGCTACGGCACGGTGTCTTGACCTGAGTATAATGTAATATTGACATTGAGCTCATAGACTGGGACGAAAACGAATGACAAAAAAACAGTCAGAAAAGAAATAAAAAGATCAAAATTGATTTCTTTCCTTCTTTTTATACCTCCACATCTAAAGGCCTGTCGCTGTGTCACTGGAAGAAAAGGCAGAAGAAAAATGAAAGAAAAGCATCAGACCCCTCACTATACCCGAACGATCATCTCTTCTTGTCCTTTCTGATTGATATTGGATCCGTCGCGATAATACCTTGTTTTGAGACAGACAACGATTGACAGCCTGGTTTTGGCTCTGAAACGGACTTGGACGCATTTGCTTGGATGGAATAAATCGATACACGTGGAATTGACTGGGTTAAGGTTTGGTATGCTGGGACATTTGGGGATTTTGGGGATTGGTTCATTCGTTTGTGCATTCTGTTTTATTGTATAGGTGTCTACTTTCTAGTATCTATAATACCTAGATTCTGTAGATAGGTGAAAACTGATTGCTTGTTTGCAATGTGCCACGTGCGATATGACGCATCTATCCGGAACAGAATATGAGCACTTTTGTATCGCGCAAACGCCCAACACAGAATACACGGTCAGAACACTCAAAAGAACCGCCGGGGAGATATAACATCAGGGTATCATGAACAGTCTGTATAAGGGCAGGTTGGTGATTGAACTCCATCCAGGGTATCCAATTGCTCTATAGATTCTTGTGAATGCGCAAACAGACGCACGATCTACTTAGCAGTGATAGCGAGACGAGGCCTGCTTCGATGCCATCGGGGAAGCTGCGTCTGCTCATCGCTGTCCTCCACGGGACAAGGCTTCCAGAGCTCAACCCCCGGAACCAGGACAGCTTCGCCAGGCGCCGAGCACATGACCGCACGGAGATGGTCTCTCAGCGTCACCGCGTCCCGACTCAGGTTCTCCTCCAGGAGCCTCCGCGCGACAGGCTCAGCGTCACACCGCGCGGTGATACCCAGCTCGAACACGCGCAGGCCCCGCACAGACAGCAGCGGCGCGACCCATGGCTCCCTTACGTCCAGCCGCAGGCGTTGTCCGCCGGCGGTGGTGTTGGTGGCCCTGGTGAAGCGGCCGAGGTCAATGCTGAGATGGAGCTCCTCGAGGCCGCGGCAGGCGGCGACGCGGGACCAGAAGAGGGCCCAGAGGTGGTCGTTGTGGGTGTGCGCGTAGATGGAGGCCTTGTGCTCCTGGCCGGCCATGGGTTGCCAGACGGGCGTCCACTGGACGGTGAGGCGGCGGATGGCGCGCAGGCGGTGCGGGTCGATGGTCTGGGAGAAGGCCACGAAGGTGTGCAGATCGTCGACGTCGAAGACCGGGGTGGCGTAGGGGAGGTCGGCGGCCTCGGCGTAGACGGCGCGGCAGGTGCGCAGGAGGGCGAGTGAGCCGTTGCTCAGCGTGTTGGGGAGGGCGGGGTGGGTGTGCGGGTAGAGCATGCTGTCGGAATGGCCGTCGTGGGTCGCTGCTCCCGCTCGCCAGCGAGCCGGGGTGATCGGGCAACAGAGTCGGTGACTGTCGAGGGAGGAGGAGGTGTGCTTGCAGCGCACATGGCGGATCTTGCCCTTGAGCTGGACCAGATGGACGGCCTCGTCGCCAAAGACGTAGTGGTAGATGATCAAGCGGATCTCTGCGGGCAGTTTGCCGAAGAGCGGCGAGGCGAACTGCGGGTTGACGGGACAATCGTAAGGGTCCACTGGTCTGGATGGGGTTGAAGATAGTAAGTCGACAGGAGGAGCACAGATCTTGCGTTCCTGGATGAGATCACGGACTATCTCCTGCCATCGTCGTCCGGTGGAATAGTAGTGCCAGATGGAGTAGGGATCACGAAGCAGCCAGGCATCGAAGTGTCGCATGTCTTCTCTGTATATACTATCTATAGTCTATAGGATTATGAAAACGGTGTATCTTTCTACCAGAGAAAGATGTGACGTCCACGGCTTGAGGGTGAGTAGGATGGAGATATATTGTCGAAGTCAATCCCGCGAGGATTTGACCAGGATGAAAGTGGATCGGTCAATCTGTATATATACACTCGGGCCCTAACTACCCGTCCTTTGCATGAATCAGAATGTGAATTGCCTACCAGAGGTATCTATACGGAGTATACCCCTCCGACGTGGGATTATCCCCATGAAACACGCAGCGATCTTCTTCATGAGGCATCAAATTCATCAGATGCTCATTATCTGATTGGTCTTCAGCTGCTTCCTCTTGAAAAGCTTTAATGTGCTTGTCGCTGATTGGCCAAGTCCCTGGCAGTCCCCGGCGCCGGGAGTTTCCGCCTTCCGAATCGGGATTTTTCGGTGGTGACTGCTACCCAATGGCGTTTTGGGATTATGTAGCTGGACCAATGATGTTTTTGCAGATGGGGCTCTTGTTCGCTTGGTGGCCAATGGGCTTTTGTGTAGGTAACCTTATGTACGCTTGCGTAGGTGGAGTTTATTGCAACCTGAGGTGTCAACTCTCTCGGCCTCCAATGCAGTTTCTTAACATTTGGTATGGAAGTACCTCTCTAGAGAGGTAATTCTACTAAGAAATGTGGGGTAAAATTGAAGTGAAAAGGTCACATACCTGGCAGTGTTGGACACCCCAGCTTGCTCATGATGAAGTGATATAAAGTACATCAAGTTTGGAATAGAAAACACGTCAGTCCCCTCACTCCCTATGATCGTCATGAGCGGAGTATATATTTCATCTACTCTGGTGCTTTGTTTGGGCTGCTTGCCTACTCATGACTGGCGTTTGCTTTCTATATACGGGATTCTATTATGTTTGTTGATCGTATTGACACTTTTACTGCTTTCATGATTTTCACCGTCTCCAACCTGCAATCCACTCCTCCATCTGCATCCTTGCTCCCAGATCGTCGGCCTACCTGCCTCCTTCGATTCCTCATGCACCAGCATTGACCAATAGGCTGAGCGAAAATTCTATTCAGTCTTAAGCACTGACTCCCATGCGTATCCCCCTCTCCTTCTTTCCTCACCCTCCCCGTCAGTTTTAGTGACTTCAAGCCACCGGTTCCCTCCCTTCTTCTGCAGTCTCGTCAACTGCAACTGCAGCAGCAGCACTCTTCTTGCCGTCACGCACCAATGCCACGTACAGTGCGCTTCCCACAATCAACGCCGAGCCTGCCCAGCTCAAAGGAGAGAGAGTGTTACCCCAGACCACCTTGTCATAAAACAGTGCAAATAACATCTGCGTGTAGATCATGGATGTGGCACGTGACCCAGAGGAGGATCTCGCCGGCTTACAATCACTGCCATCTCCTCCGGAGACCCTCTGAGATCTTCTCGGAGGTGGCGGCGCGTATGACAATCCAGCGGTCAGCAAAAACTGCAGCAGAAATCCACAAACCCCAAGTCCCACAATCAATGTCCATTCCAAGCCAGTTTCAGGCAACTTGAACGGCACGGAAGGCACCAGTAACATGGCCAGGAATGACATAACGGTAGTGAACAGTGAGAAATACGTGACCGAGACCAAGGGATGGCACCGCTGGCCGATGATCCGGATCGACGTGTACGCACATGTTGATCCGAGGACTCCCACCATCATCGCCAAAATTGCCACGATATGCTGAGAATCGTCCGTGGTGCCGGGCTTGCGCCCTTCCAGCTTTTCCGGGTCGGGAGGCGTTGCTGACGACGAGAAGGGGCGCGCGATTAGCACTACGCCTACCATGGAAACCAGAGCGGCCAGCTGCTGCCTGCGGGTGAATGTCTCGTTGGGAATAAAGAGTGAACAAGCGTAGCAGCAGAGGATGGGTGCCAAAAAGGTCAGGACAGTGGCCTCGGAAAGAGGTAGATACTGGACCGCGTAGTAGATGCTGTAGACCCCGAAGAAACCGCCCATGGCCCGGAAGATCAACAGGCCTAGCACAGGACGAGTCCCGAAAGGATGTGGAACCTTGGTGTACCACATGTAGAGGTAGCTTGCCACGACAGTCACCGACATGCGGGCAAAGAGGATCTACGCTGGTCAGCGATGCGTTGCATAGCGCCCCGCAGGCGTTGCTGGGATAAAACCAACCTGGAAAGGATGTAACCCGCTGTCAAGCTCAAGGATCTGGGTCATGACATTCATGGAAGCACCAAAGAACTGCGCCAACGTCACCAGAATCATGCCCTTACCCTGGAGCCAGATCTCTTTTCCTTCCTCGTATACAGCTCGTAGCCATGACTGCGAATCCTCCTTGCCGTTGCCTTCTGGATGTGTCGACGATGAAGAGCCCAGCAATGGTCTGCGGATGTCATCTTCGTAACCATTTAGACCGTTCTCCGATAACGGAGGCGCAGCGATACTCTCGCAATTTTGGAGAGTATTGTACTGGCGTTGAGAGGACGCCATCGTTCAACCTGCGAAAAAATTGATAATCAAAGTCAAAGAAGAAATAGAATATTTATATCATAAACCAGCATTAAATATCATCAATCATAAATATCATGAAATAGTCCATTCAGGTCATGACTTGGAAGAGCTGATTCAAGCGACCATATGTATTGGCTTCAGTCAGCTGAGAGGACGAGAGCTGCTCCAAACATCTACTATGTATATGTTTTTCGCTTCTTAATTTTTTTTTGTTTTTTTTTTTTCGCAGCTACTCCGGAAAGGAGACTAGTATCTCTCATCTGCTTTTTAGTAGCCCTTTTCATTGGACTAAGAAGAAGTATCACTGTACTAGTGTGGACGGATGATCGGCTGGCAGGGTTTATGGGAATCAAGGACTTGGCATCCTCTGCACTTTGTTCGAGGGCAAATGGTAGAAAGAACTACTGGAATCTACCTGCTAATCTGCTTGTACAGTATCATTGGCCATGTAGTTGCTTGGTGGCACATAGTATAAGCGCTGTCTGACTATTTCGCTCAAACAAAAGATATATACGATGAATGACCCCGCCAAAGTATGTTCCTATACAAAAGTAAAGGTATCTCCTCCCTTCTCCCGTAACATATTGCCTACTCGTTTCGTCCCCACGATGCGCTCCAGCTTCAGCGCATCCCACCTGGAAAACAAGGCCCGCACGCCTCCCTCCGCCGCGTCCACGACGCCCGCCGGATCCAAGCCCAAGAACCCCACAATCTCTCCCCAGAAGAGCGGGTTCTCCGGCACACCATACATCACAATCCGCTTCACGCCCCGGATCTGGTACCGACGGAAATGGTGCAAGCGCTCCGTGTACAGCAGCACTGAATGCCGCCCGTTCATGAAGTGTGTGCGTGCCCGTGTCATCTCCCGGACCTCGCTATATTCTGAGATCGCCCCGAACGAGACGTTGGTGGTTTGCGACGATGTTGCAAAGTAGTTGCGCACCCGCACAAAGTCCAAGTACGACGGGATGAAGATCAAGGTACCTCCCGCACTGCTCTTGTCCCGGCTTGAGGTGATGTTTCGCACCAAGGATGAGAGCACCGTCGTGGTGAAATGCTTGAACCGCGCGTCCGGGTCTTTGGTCGGCGTGAGACTGTCGAACCGCGAAAAGGTCTGCTTGACGGATACTGGGAGGGGCACCTCGGAGATAGCTCCCGCGTACACCGGCGTCACCTTGATCTTTCCTGCGAAGTTCTGCATATGTGTAGAGAATAAGGAGTTGATCTCGGGTGTGATAAATGAAGCAGAGACGATCATCTGGCGGACAAATCGGGCATGGTTGTCCAAGTACCACGTTCGCACACGACTGAAATCACACCCGTGAGCCTCTTTGGGCTGTAGATTGAGATGATCGAGAATGTAGCCCACGTGGTCCCAGTTCTGCATGAGCAGAGCATCGGCGTGGTCAACTATCACCAGTTCGACTGAGGACAAGAAGTCGTGGTCACGCTTTTTCGCGCTGGACCGCAGTCAGCAAGGTAAACTCGTGGAGAATTAAGACTCAGAACTACTTACTCAGCCTGGTCCATGATTGTGCGTAGACCCAGGGGACTCGCCAAGATTATATCCGAATTGTAGAATTGCGAAAAGTACTTCATGGTCTTGCGAGTGAATTTGAGACCCAGCCGGAACATGTCATCATCGTTGCCGCCGAAAAGCTCCCGAAAATCCTCAGGTTTGTTTTCCCAGGATTTGTCGTCTGCTGCAGAAAATGAGTCCAAGAACCGCTTCTTGTTCTCTTGCTGCTCCGGCTGGAAGAAGCGTGTTATGGACTCGACCGCTCGAACGCAAGCTTGTCTCGTCGGCAAAAGGTAGAGCACCTTCGGTCTGGTAAAGCCCTGGTCCCGAAGGTCCAGGTCTGCGTCCTGTTCTTTGGCAATGCGAGAGTTGTTCTTCAGCACCCGGTCCCGTGTCTTCAGGATGTGGTTGACCGCATGAACGGCTAGAATATCCCGCATCGCGCTCGAGTTCGATGTCGTTCGGGCTCCGTATAAAACATCTTGATAGCCGAAGATGTAAGGCGCGATATGCTGAGCGTCACCGCTGATTGCTGGGATCCGCTCTGTGGCAGGGCCATAAAGTTTCTTCTTGAGCTATAAGTGATTTAGAAGAATGATCCTGAAGGTCGATATTAGGTTTCCAGACTGGGCCTGTGGCTTACCTTGACGATTGAAAAGTGCTTCATTGCTGGTAGCAAGGATACATCGCCCTCGCCAATGTCGGGAATAGCGCGTACCAACTTCAGCCCGCTACCGATTTCCTTCTTCGTGTTTTTCCATTTCTTTTCTTCTGCTGATTTAATCTTCAAGGCCAGCTCGCTCTCGTCTACTGCCGAAAAATGAGTCTCAAAAGGGTCGTTTGCTGCACAGCGTTAGAAGTTTAGGTAAACAGTAGCGGGTCAGTTCGAACAATACCATCTTCTTCGTCATCGCTCTCATATTTGCCGTCCGCTTCCTTTGGGTGATCTTCTTCTTCTTCGTCAGACGGCTCCTGCTCTTGCAAATCATCGTCTCCTAGTAGGACCGCATCGTCCTCTTCTCCGTTCGCGGCGGGCACGGCATCTCTCTTCTCTCCACCGTTGTGTTCAACCTTTCTCCTCTTCCTAGCGGGGCCTTTAGGTTCCGCATTTACTTGCAGCAATTGGATCAATTCGTTGTACGGACGAGCTGTCTGCTGGGCTTCGTCGTCGTCGCTATCGGACGAGACATCGTCCATTTGGGTTTCGTGGTCCATTTCATCTCCAGCAGGCTCGTGGCTGAGGTGCGATTCATTATCGGAATGATCCTCCGGTCTAATAGATGAATTCGTTGTTATTCGGAGAGCGAGACACGCAAAAGAGGAAAGGTAACTGTTATACTTACTCTACGTCTTCGACTCGCGAGGTGGTGAAGCCATTCCGTCTGTTGGTTTGGCCCCTGGGCCCTTTGCCACGTCCTCTGCTGAATCTACCACCTCTATTGCGTACAGGCGGCATTTTCTCGGTCAGTGAAAAGTTCTCTGATAGTATGTACTCGTGTTACAGATCTTGACAAGCCTAATCAAGCCCTGTTATTTGTTCAGGCTCATATTTTTTTTCTTTGCGTCGGGGGCTCGGTCTTATCTTATCTTAGCGCGAAATTCCCCTTTGGGCGCACACACAATTTGAGCCTCGAAGAACTCCGCCGAGATTGAGCGGGCGGAAGAATTAGAAAGGAAAAAGATTACAGAGCCATCCCCACCACCGGCGAGGAAGCATTCAAGACTGTGAGAGAACCAGGCTTCGGCATATTTTTCACATCTCCAACATGGCTGAAACCGATTCTTTCCTTCACCTTGCTCGCCCTCTGGGCCCAGTGGCAGTGGGGTCTGCACCAACCACCGCCCCTCTGAATGTTGTCATTCAGCCTCAGGTATGTCCTGGATACGCCTGGGGAAACGTTGAATTATCCGTTTTACTGATCACCTTGTAACAGGCCATTTTCTCGATTCTCGACCATTCCCTCCGTCGCAATGCCGACCAGGAGCGTGTCATCGGTACCCTGCTTGGAACCAGATCAGAGGATGGAACTGAGGTGGAAATCCGTAGCACCTTTGCTGTTGGACACACAGAGACGACCGACCAGGTCGAGGTGGATATGGAATACCAGAAGCAAATGCTTGCGCTGCACCTTAAAGCCAACCCCAAGGAAGTGCTGGTTGGTTGGTACGCCACATCGTCCGAGTTGAACACCTTCTCCGCCTTGATCCAGAACTTCTACAGCGGCCAGGGTGACGGCACATGGCCTCATCCTGCTGTCCATCTGACAGTGTCTACTGAGCCTGGGAAGGATATTGAGACCCGCGCCTACATCTCCGCCCCCGTCGGTGTGACCGCTGAGAGGGCCGCAGACAGCGCTGCTTTCATTCCTGTCCCTTATGAGATTCGCTATGGCGAGGCCGAAAAGAGTGGTCTCGAGACTATTGCTTCTGCCAAAGACGCTGAAAGCCGTGCTACAAACATCTTCACTGACATCGAAGCTCTGGAGCGTGCCATCGAGGAGGTCCTTGGAATGATCGACAGAGTCTCCAGATACGTCGAGTCCGTCATTGATGAAGAAGCCCCCGCTTCGACCGCACTGGGCCAGTTCCTCCTCAATGCCCTGGCCTTGGCCCCCAAGGTTGAACCCGCCGACATTGAACGTGACTTGTATGTTTTCTTTGCGGCCTCCTTTTTTTAATTTTTTTTATTGGTTCCTTTCCTTTTACTAACTGTGTTACAGCAACAACCACATCCAGGACGTTCTGGTCGTGTCTTACCTGGCCAACACCATTCGCACACAGATGGAACTGTCCAACCGGCTAGCAACTGCTCAGCTCACCTTGGGCGGAGAGGGTGCCAGCGCCGAGGCTGGAGCTCAGCGTGGCCAGAGAGGCGGCAGAGGCGGCCGTGGCGGACAGCAGCGTACTCAAGAACGGGCCAGTGAGGAAGTCCGCGCGTGAGGGGAATAAGGACATATTGTGAAGATACCTGCGTTTTCTCTCATACAGCTGTTCAATCCTTGTGATATTTCTTCCTATCATTATGTCTTTCCGCCCGTCAGTCTCCTTATTGATATGTGTCTGTTTTGTATCTCCTCCTGGGTTTGCTTTGGAAGACTTTTTCAGTTCTGGTGGCCCGGCTCTACATCTCCCTCTTTGTTACGCATGCTGTTGCCGGGTCAAGGCGAGATTTAGACATACGACGAGGCGACCAAGGGGTCCAATGAAGAAAGCACGGCGTACAGGAGTCATTCTGGCTTTGCTCAGAGGGATGAAGGGGGAGGAAATCGGGGAAATGGATATACACCCATGTACGGGGATCGAGTTCCACGGTCCTTATTTTCTGGAGCAGGGAGGACTTTGGTCATCTGATAGTTGCGATGTAAACCAGATGTTTATGAGACGATCACTATCTCAGCGACGTGTTAGCCATGACTAAATGGATATATGTGCTAGATACCTTAGATTCTTCTACCATAAGGCCTACCGCTTCTTGTTCATCTTGTTCGGACTTGAATTCATCTTCCCATGTACGCCAGACAAGCTTTGTTTTGGAATTAAGCAGAGCTGTCAGGGCTTACCGGGTCCAATCCGCTTGTCTTCATATGCTGCTGTTTGTTTTGTCATCTGCAGTTGCTTCCATGCCCCTGATATGGGATTAGAGAGCTATATATCGATATAGAGATATGTTGTGTCTTTCCAGGGTTTATGTTCCAGAGAGCTTCAGGAGTCAGGCATGCTTGGTTTAAGCCATCTCTACTGAGGCCTCCAGATGGTTGCCTGATGTGCCATACTGATGCCATCTAAGCTTATGAGTCTTTGCCGTCCACAGCTATCTTTGTATGTAGCAGAAAGGCTCCCATTCACTGAGAGAACTCCACTATGCTTACAGCGCCTCGACACCTCTCCGTCAGGTTAAAAGCCCCATCACCCAATCCTAGCATGAATTACGACATCTCTTTGCCTCTCATCAGCTGATATTCTTCTCCGTCTCAGGTCTACATACCTACCAGCATGGCCATCTATCTACAAGGGGAGAATCCAAATCGAGCGTGTTACAACTGTGGCTCCCTTGGGCATCTCAGAAACAGTTGCCCTGACCCTAAGAACAGGTGTGGCTATTGCAAAAAGGAAGGTCATGCGGTTAGAGATTGCTTAAAGGCAAAGCCTTGTCAAAGATGTGGTCAGAGGGCCCATAAAGCGGACAGGTGCCAGAACAGCCCTGTCGCTAGATTGAACCCGGCTGCTGTTCAACCAGACCCATCACAGTCTTCGCATCCAAGTGAAATGGTAAGACTGTGCCAAATCTCCCTTTTAAGCCTTCCATCGCTTACCGATAGCCGGCTTGCGATCCAGACTCCCGTTAGATTCCCGACACTGCGACATATGATAATTTTGTTGGCAACCGCACTCCAGGGAGATTTCGGTAGAGAGAGCTACCTTCGGCATATCCCATACACTGATGTCGTCTCTCTGTTTGACAGCATCGACAGCTTCACTGAAGTTTTACTTGGCACCGTCGACCCAACAATTAGGAACCTGGAAGGGCGAATAATCACAAGGAGTTTGTACGTTCAGTCGAATGGCTTGATGTGAGCAATAGCTGATCTATCAATCTTCTATTGAGACTCGACGAAGTACGACAAGCGCAGGCAAAGCATGAGACTCAATGGCCGCTGAACAGTGGATACCTGGACTACGTCTCGGACGACCGCGACCCGGACTACTGGCGCCCATATGTAGGGCAATCCAGTAACACCGAACAGCGCATCGCCCAGCATGTCAGGGCAATCAGGACCGGCGACACGGACACCCTTCATTATTTCGTTATTCGCAGGGGAGATGGGCACCGCACAGCGAACTTTATTAGGCTATGGACACTTGCCCTGCCAGAAAACGTCGATCCTGTCATCAATAACGCTCTCAACAACATATTGGAGATGATAATGGCTCCGATCAGGGCAGAAATCAAGCCCCATGGTCAAAAACACCCTCAACGATGGGCTTACCATGTGACTAGTGATGATCCGGCATCGAGGCTGGCGTTCCGACTAACTGTCATGGGTCCAGAAAACCAGGAATTCGGCTTCTATGCCTCTGGTCGCGGAACAAAGCTCGTTAAGAAAGCAAACGGGTTCATAGACTGGATGTCTGGAGTCACAGACGAGGAGATAGCGACGAGGCCCCGCCGATATCTCAATATTCAGATGAGCCACGAAAAAGTCCATGAAGCCCTAAGACCATTTGTTGGAGGTGCATACACTGATGACAATGGCAACATCATGTCTGTAGAAGATAAAAGATAGATATGTGGACAGTACCACATGATTACTGGGCCTATTTCTGTTTCTTTCAACGACGAGTAATAGTGTCTAGACTTTCGCCATTTTTTTTCGATATGCCTGGTCTTGTTGTTATCGTGGTTTAGGCGACAGGCCGATAAAAAGTTGCTGGGCGATGGTAAAACGGTCAAAAAGACAGCAACTAGCTGGAACGACACCTCTGGGATTCGAACCCAGGCGGGCGAACCCACAGGCTTAGCAGGCCTGCGCCTTAACCACTCGGCCAAAGTGTCAATGGGTAAGGAAATGCGGGTTTCTTCAAATCTACAACCAGATCTAGCAACAGCTGCTCAACAGCGCAGGAAAATAATGTGTTGGGAAGAGTTCGAGTAGAATATGAGTCTGACTGAAATGCGTATGACTATCTCAAATGTTGCTCAAATCATTAGCTTTTTTATCAATATCGCAAGTTGACATCTCGTCAAGAACCTAGCCACTGTAGCCAGCACGGTATTATCTGAGAAAAATAGATAGGAGGAGGAGGCAGAAGAAGAAAAGAAGGATGAAATAAATACAGAGCAGGGAAAGGGAAAAAAAACGATTTCCTTGGCCGGCCACGCGAGATCCGCAGACTTGAGTGGCGTTGAATGTACGGAGCAGAAAACAACTGTCGAAGGGGGCCCAATGCGGGTGGTCACGGAGGGAGGAAAATAGAAAAAACGATGAGACGACACCTCTGGGATTCGAACCCAGGCGGGCGAACCCACAGGCTTAGCAGGCCTGCGCCTTAACCACTCGGCCAAAGTGTCTAATGGTTAGTTTGCCACCCGAGATCAACATACTGAAGCGGGGTCACCATTCTGAGGATCCCCAAAACGGAATATTACTAACCAAGAACATCTCACCCTTCACCAGTGCTTAGCAATCTAACTGAGGTTCGCGGCTTCCATGGAGGTTCCCCCTGCTTTTACTTCCTTTCCTTTCCTTGGCTTGTAACCTGTGGGGTAGCGGCCGTACTTGGGAGTGCTACTGACCATGGCGAAGTTTTCTGGGATGCTTAATCATGGCACTACAGTAGCTAAGAGATCAGTTGAATAGTTGTTCGCACAATTACCTTGGATACATTACACGACTTGCCTGGTAGCTCAGGTCAGCAACATAAAATTGATCAACTCTAAGATTGCACGCTGGAGCAGAATAACGAGTACTCCGTAGATGGGGCAGTTGTGGAAGATCTCTAGGAACTGGCCGTCTCCGTCTGCCCCATATATTAGTATAAATTAAAGTATTTCGATCTTCGGACACTTTGGCCGAGTGGTTAAGGCGCAGGCCTGCTAAGCCTGTGGGTTCGCCCGCCTGGGTTCGAATCCCAGAGGTGTCGTCTAATTCTTTTTTTTTTTTTTTCACTCTTTTTCCCAGGCACTGGTCCGACTTCTTTCCTGATATTGAAGTCCCATACTTGTGTCGAGGCTCACTACCATAAGCCATAAGCGGTGATCCGCAGGCGCTACTGAGACAAAGGTACAGGAGTCTGAGAAGCTCTTTCTTGATGATCACTACATACATCCCCGAGCGACAAACGGCCGGCGGCAGTATCAGAGCTACTTCCTGGCCGTCATAATGTAAGAAAGAAGCCAAGAAAAGAGGTGAGAAACAAGACGGGAGCTCCCTGGTGCGACTACTGATGGACGAAATCTCACCACTGGTACCCGCTCAGAGCAAGAGCATGTACATTTGAAACTCCCATCTCCTTCCAATGATCCTTCGAGACAATGATTCTCAGATGTGTCGTGTGACTTGGGAGAAGAAATACGCCTTTTCTGGAGACATCCAGCCGGCTTTCAATCATCGTAAGCAACGTGAAAGGACCATCGACGGCCAAGATCTCCAGCTGGATAAGGTCGTAGCAAATCAGCCTGCCTGCTCAAAGCTTCCTCTTCTTCAATACAGTATCCTCTGTAGCATCCGAATCTCTCCTGGAAGGTCGCTTTCCCTTGCCCTTGCTCTTCTTTCCTCCTGCTCCATCAGCACCCTCACCCAGCTCTTCGAGTCCCTTCTTGCCCGCATCCTTGAGATTTCCGACCTGATCGTCATTCTGATCAAATGCCTTACGAGCCTCTTTCAGCTCGCGCTCCATCCGCAAGAGTTCCTGGACACGACCGAGTTTATTCGGGTCGCGCCTCAACGCAAAACGAAAGTCGTCGACCTTGATCTTCTGGCGACGGGAATAGCTAGCATACTGGGCTGCATTGTGGCACATCTCAAGGACAAAGTCGGTGACGATTTCATCGAGAACACGAACGGTCTCGGGAAGGGGCTCAGACGGGAAGGATGGATGAGGGCTGGGATCTCCATATGCCAGAAGAAGGAGACGCACTACATAGCCCCATATATTAGCTGCAGAAGCCCTTTGCACACGGCGACATCAATTCCCTATCGAAAAGCGGTAAAGTAATCACGTACGCTCCGATGCAAAATTCATCTGACCCTTGTGCCTTGCAGCACGTGCTCTAGGTTCCGCCATGCTTGATGGATTGTTTCGATTCTGCTTTTTCTTTTTCTTGGAATCTGTTTCTGACGCAGAATCTTCCTGTGCAGCTGGGACTTTTGGTTTAAAGGCAGGAATATATCCGGAGCGTATCAGGGCAGTCTCCTGGGGGTTAAAAGGCCAAGGAGGAGCGAATTCGCTCGGCACATGGCCAGAACTGCCGAATCGTGCTGGAACTGATGGCTTTGGAGTGCCTTGCTGCGGTCGTGAGGATCTTTCTCGAGACGACGAAGTATGAGGAGCCGCGGAATTACTGACAGTGTTGCCTCTGCGGACATGGCGGTGTTTAGAGCGGTGAGCAGGGTTCATGCCGGCAGGACTACCAAGGCGGTCAGAGCTGTTATCACTGTGATCTGCCATCTTGGTGTGTGTGAACACCAGACACAAGACAGTGGGATAGTCAGTCCTCAAAAGCACGAACTGATTGATTGATCAATCGAGTAACTAGGAATCTTGCCAGAGTTGTGTGTAAGGAAGAAGGGTGGTGACCCTCTGCTACAGTCAAGATGGTGAGTTAAAAATGGAGTGAATGCTCTCTACTTGAGGAGCCTCACCATGGCGCACCACACCAGAGTCAAGCTAACTGATGTCGCAGTCTGCCTTATTCAACTTTCAGTCACTTCTCCTTGTCTTCCTGCTTATTATTTGCACAAGCACTTATGCGCACTCCATCATGCCAGGAATCATGGACCGCAACCAGCGTGGGTAGGTTCTCAGCAATCTGTTGTTTCACTTGTCCCTACCACAGGTTACTCGGATATGACTGACCTTCGCACCATTCAGGTTCTTCGGGATATTCTGGAAGTGCGCTCGGATTGGAGAACGTCTAAGCCCGTACGTTAGCATTTGCTGCGTACTGATGGCAGTGAGTACACCCCGATTCTGCGTCATCATATCCAACGCATATTAGAGCTAACACATGGTATCAACTTCAGGTCTCAATCTTCTTTGGTGGCTGAAACATATACCTCAGCTCTATGTCTCATGATATTAAATTCCGTGGCTTCCCTGACTTGTCGGCGTTCATTCATTTCTCCCCTTTTACCGGGATATGGAATATCATGCGTAGGGAGTTTGTCATGATTATTTCTAATGTACATACATCCGTGTGATAATTTACAGGAAATTTGTAGAAACGCTCTGTATACCGATAGAAACACCCATGCTTTAGCTGTGACTCCCTGCCCTTGGAAGTCATCCAGTTTTCCAGAACCCGCGCTTCTGATGCAATAACCATAAACAATGAGAAGAAAGACGTCAAAAGATGTAGGGGTATCTTCATAATTTGGGCTTTAGTTTCTCCCTCAACCGTTTAAGCCCTTGATCCAAAAGCTCGTCCCTTGTCTTTTTGTCGCTCTTTGAAGGTGCGAGTTTAGAGTCGGCCAATGTGGTGAGAGAAGGTTGTGATAGCTTGTCCAACTCTTCCAGAGCCACCCAAAGTCGTTCAGGGTCTCGAAGGTAACGAAGAGCCTTCATATTGTAGGAGTCAATGACGTATCCCGCGTCCTCCATAGCTTTGATTGTCTGGGCAAGGTCAAAAACTCTTTGTTTGCAGGCGTGACCACTGATGATAATGTTCCAGGTGACCTTATTGAATTCAACATTATGTTCAGCCATCATCTCCTTCACCCTCTCTGCAGCGTGCGGTTGTTTGTTGAAGATAAAGCAACTCATCAAGATTGTCCATGTTCGAACAGAAGGCATGACATGACCACTTGCTTGTTCGTGCATGCCCCGGGTATTGCTTGTTAGGGCAGATGTCTGCAGCATGTCTTCAACTACTCGCATAGCTGGCCGCAACCCCCGAGGATTGTCCCGAAAAGCCACGAGGAACTCGTTGTAAACGTGATCGGTTGCTGCCAGAGGAGCAATTGTGGGGTGTCCCTGCAGCACCAGGGAGCGAAAGTTCGTATAAAGGCGCTGAGCAATAGAGACACGCCTTCGACAGCGTAGATATGTTGCAATCATGAGAAATAAAGCGATCGTGGTCGGTGGCGTATTGTCACCTCCTGGTGGGGGCGTGTATTCAGGTGGTAAGATAGAAAGCTCTTTCAAAGGAGTAATATCATGTAGCTTGTTATACATCTCCAGCATGGAGTAGAACACCGCATCCGGGTCGTCATCCGGATTTATATGCTTCGCAGTGAAAACGAAATGAGCATGAAAGATCTTACTCGAGATCCAAGGATTCTTCAGTAGCTCCTCGTTAGATTCGATCTCCCGGATCAATGAACTAACGCGGTCTCGATTCCCTCGCGCAACAGCATCATTGAGGAGGATCAAATGGGTATAAGAGTCTGGTTCAAGGCCATTATTTTTCATATACTCCAGCATATCGAGCCCCAACTGCTCGTCACCTGTTTTGAAGGCATTGGACAAAACGACGTTCATCATATCCCTATCTGGCCGAACACCCATTTTGAGTAATTTGGGAAGAATGTAGAAATTTCGCCCTTCCGGCCCTTCTTGAACCGAATCAAGCGTGAGAAGCTTGCAGCAGTGGCGCATCACGCTTTGAGAATCCATCCCAAACTCAACCTGTTTCATTCGCCGCACGTTATCAAGAACGCCAAGTGCCTTATTGACGTCCTTGAACTCGATAAATCGCCACATGAAACAAAGATGGGTCTCCGCTTTTGTATGAATCTTGCGCTCACACACAAGTTTATAAGCATAGTAGATTGCGTCACGATCAGCGCGCTTCACATAAAGTCGAACGATTTTCTGCGGCAAAAAGAGAATTGGCCAATTGCGGGGGCCCAAGGCAGCATTGAAGACAGATTGATATGTGTGCGGCCCTTTTCTCCAGTCCTTGAGCCTGTCATAGTGAAAAGAGTCCAAGAAAAGGAAGGCATCTGCGACCATCACAAAGACAGGCCTCTCCTTGCCATGAGTGGTCACCGACAAGAATTCTAAGGCAAGCTCTGGAGACTCCTTCAACAACCATAAGGATAGACTATGCCAATGAAGGGCTTTGTCCCTCTTGCTTAACGCCTCCCAAGCCTCACTGAAACTGCCCTGACTATCCGTTTTGAGTTTCCCTAGCAGGTCCAGCTCGACGGGGTTCAGCTTCAAGTCTCTCAAGACCTCATTTCGGATCTCTCTTTCGTAGAATTTTGACCTGTACAGGTCGCTTTGTGCAATTCTCCATGTGCGTATATTCGCCCCTTCATGAAAGAAGGTCTGAGATCTGATGCGCTTCTCCAGAGCCACAGTTTTAGGACGGAGAACTCTCTGTCTATCCCTGGGCTGACCCCTAACCATGACCTTGGTTTTGTAGATTATGGCTGGCGCCGGACCTGAGGTGAAGATACTACTCCGTCCTGGGATCGAAAGCAGGCGTTTGGAGCTTAGAAATCTCGGTCGTCGGCCCGCATATCTTCCATCTTGATTAGGAGCAACTAGCTCCTGTTCAGCACCAGGAGAAGGGCCCTCAAGCACTGTGGACGATTGCGACTCAATTGAATAAATCCTGGAGGGTGAATCGGGGCTGGAACTCTTATCGACGGTGGACGTTGTAGAGGATAATCTCCGAAGTACATTTTTCCGACAAGGATCTTCCGGAATAGTATAGGGGGTCGTTGTACGGATAATAGCTGTATCAACGGCGGGAGGGAGCTGAGCTCTCGTATTCGACGCATCATTACTGGAATATAACGCTCTCGCGCCTTGAATGCCCGTCCCTGGTTGATACCATCTGTGGTGCGGATCCCAGGATGGCAGTCCAGCGCTGAAGCGGGAACGAAGGAGACGCTGCGGACAAAATGACATTCAGTACTTCTTGATCGCGTACATTGAAAAATGATTCCGAACAGGATACTAGCAAATCCAAGAGGCGATGAGGACGGCGAAGAATCGGCGAGTGACAGTTTCATAGATCATTGCATTGGATGGATCAACCCGCAGAAAATGCCCGCCAATTTTGATCCGACGCGGATGTGGCTAGTGAAAATTAATTGTGGCGCACCACTGCCGATAAATCGTATGGATGTTATCAACACCGCAGAATACGATCGGGTACTACCTCTCTACTTGAACCAAAAACTGAGACCTTTTCTTTTGTCGCAAAGTCGCCTTGGGGCAAAATTCGCGAACTTATTACTTCTATAATCGAAGCCAGCGGTATTTCTCGGACCCCTGGAATTTTACTCTCCTTTGCTTTTCTTCTACTTCTTTCCCTCTAACACAATGTCGCTGAATCACACCTCTCTTGATGCGGCGGCAACAGAACGCAAAGCCCGTCTTGCGAAGCTTGCAGCTCTAAAGAGAAAGCAACCGGAACCGGAGACACTCACAGAGGCGCGTGCTGGAGACCATGAGCCTGAGGATGCCGCGCCCGATGTCACAAGAAAATACCTGTCCGGACGTAATTTCGATGCAGAAACTCGCGGGCCCAAGCTGGGGTTTGATCAAGCGCCAACAGAAGGAGCGAAGACACTCGAAGCGCAAGCTGCTGAGATAGCGAAGGCTACGACGGAGCAGGCGAAGAAGGATGAGGAGAAGGACCAACCGATCGACCTGTTCAAGTTGCAGCCAAAGAAGCCTAATTGGGACCTAAAGCGTGACCTTGATGAAAAAATGAAAATCCTTAATGTGAGGACGGAAAATGCAATTGCGAGACTGGTTCGACAGCGCATGGAGAATGCGCAACGAGCAGCGAGGGCGCAGGGAGCGACCCGCAACGAAAATGAGCAGGGAGAGGAGGTAGGCATTGAAGGAGACATGCTGGTGGAAGGAATTCACGTCCGCGAGAGGGAAGAGGAAGAAGAAAGACGGGAGATGGACGAGGATTCATGATACCCATGAGAATTCGCGCAGGTTGATCTATGGCCTTATATGCTTTTTTATCATACAACACGTTACTTTGGCGCTGCAGAGCTGGGACCCGGGACGGTCAGAAACAGGCGTTAGCGGTCATCTGCATTTTGATTGCATGGATGTTAATGCAATTATGCTCTTCTGTATTACTATAGTACATTACTGGCTGGGGTCAAGAAAGCACAACATTTCCAATCCGGTCGAACGGCCGAGAGGAAAATCTCCTCAAACTCTGCTTTACTCAACTTAATTGATTCCGACTCAGCGTTCCATGTTCATGGCCTGAGTCAGCGCTAGACGCTTACTGTAAGGACTGAGGCTTCGTTCCTTTCGCGCTGAACCGGACATAGGTCCGCTGAAGGCATGATTGCGCTGGCGGTCCAGGTGCCTAGACCGGCTCATGTTTCCCCTCGACTCTCTTGTTGGATGGTGCTGTCCCTTCACTGTATCTGGAGTCGCCGACCGCCTTTCTTTGGCAATTCGACTCTGATCCATACTCAGGCTTCGTGTCCTACCCCTCCGGCTGCCGTCTTCAGAGATGTTCCTAGGTCGACCACGCTCTTCAGGGCTAGATTCCCGACGTCTTCGTCTTGTGTTTCTGTCTATCTCCCATTCCCTCGATCGAGAGCGCTGTCGCCCACCGGAAGAGTAAGAAGAGTCAGTATGGCCGGATAATGAGTCACTGTATCGTCTCTTTCTTGATTGTGGTTGAGGCGACGACATTGATTGTGCTCTGTCTCGCCCCCTACTTTCAGTATAAACTTCATGCCGTGGCGGCGAGACTGAATGCGATCGACTGGTCGATATCGTTGAGACGGACGACATTGAGTGAGATGACTCTGATCTACTCCGCTTCGCTGCATGATGACTCTCATCAAACGGATCTGAATCCCCTAGCTCCCTCTTGCGACCTCGTTCCTCTCCTCGTCTTGCTAATATCTCATCGGCGACACCTCTTCTATCACCGGCGTCAGCTAAGTTTTCCACGCCCAATAACTCATGCGCCAACTTACGACCCTAACAGTTCGTTTGGAACATCAGTCGTCAGCTTCGGTCGCAAATTGGGGTTTTGCAGTTGTTGTGTGCGAGAAGGTCGAGTTGTATATGGCCGTTCCTGTGCAGATACCGTGCATTCATAACTGTAGTGTCGTATAAAGGAGTCAGCCAAAGGTAGAATAGCCACGAAATCTATGTACTTATCTCGTTTCAAGCATTTCTGACACAGAGTACTGGCAGTCGCCTTGGTAGGGCCTCTGATGCCTGGTGCGTTCCGGTATCGATTCATCTGAATCAAACGTTATGCCGAGCCCAAAAAAAATCGAAAAAATAATAATTGTACGAATGCGAAAGATACAATCCTAGAGATGCCGCAAGAAGTGCTTAAAAAAAGTATTCAGGCTCTCATCACTTAATTGACGAAGCCCAATTTTTCGAACGCCGCAATCGCGATTCTCCGCGGCTATTCAAGCGGACCTGCCAGACGAGTGGGCCAGGGCGAATTACATACGCGCGCGGTTAAGCGCACCACTGAAAGAGGAGACAAGCGAATCTCAACCTGATCATCGCCTGCCTCGTTCCTTCTCAGCCCAAAGGACGAAAAGAATTCAACCTATTCACCTTCCAGCACTCTATCGACTATCTGGGGCTCTTTATGACCCTTCATCTTTATTAGCAGGGTAACCGACCTCTCTTTGACCCGCTCCGATCTGGGCTGGACTGGGTTTTTAGATACCCGTGGTGGGAGAAGTTGTATCTCCCTTTGCCGAAATATTATACCAGAAAATCATGAACCAGTCGTTTTGACCATCGTGTAAGAACAGTCAATAGTCCTGGCCGTTCCTCTTTGCCTCGCTTTCCCTTCTTTCAGAGTCTCGATCATTTACAGGGCACAGCTCATTATGCACGCAATAGATCTGACGTTGAACAGCTTTCCATATGGCGAACTCCCCTTTTCAGAGATATGTCGTCATTCTTTTTGGGCTTGTGTGAAGTGGGATTTTTGAGTGGCTTCTTCTCAATTCGAAATTCGGTTTCGTCCTGTTGAAAATCGAGCAGAACTCGCAGCATATTGAAGCAGTCCGCAGCCTTTTCCCCGGAGTCTTTCCCGAATCAGTACAACTGTACTTGTTTGAAGCGCACGCCGAAGGAAGACCTCTCGAAAGAAGGAGTTTCTGGCTAGTTTGAGGATTTTAGCATGGTCATGGCCTCGGAAAATTCTACCGAGGCTGAGCATCGCCTGTCTTTCGCCAAGGTATGTCCTGATGCTGGTGAAGGCGTCGCGGCGTATTTGATGGCCTCAGTTTCTCTGATAATTATAATAGATAGCCGCAATGGCTCCGCCATCGAAACCAGAAGAGCTCGGGTCTGGCGAACGAAATGATGCACAGAACGCGGAAAGGCTTGCATGTCCAGACAGTCTAGCGCGAGCTGTACAAGACGTCCATATAACAGACACTAGCGACAGACAGAGCCCCAGCTTTACTTCAGAAGTCGATGAACACGGAGCTCTCAAACGCGAGGCGTCCTTTGACGATGCTCGTACGCATCTCTCAACGTCCTCAACGAAACAGACGAGTTTCGATTCAAAGAGCATGGCCTCAGTTACCACTTTCGCAATGGATGAAAAAGATTCGTTGCGACCCGACGATAGTGCCAGCGTACAGGCTGTTGATGAGGAAGAGTCTCTTTCGGGGCCGGCATCGGGAGCAGCGAACTCACTTACGGGATCCGAATCTGGTGTCCGCATATACAGGGATCATCCGCGAGACTTGAGTAGACAAAAGCCCCGGCCAGTTGTGCTTCCTGATGGTGGCCAGCGACTGGATGGGATAATTCGCCCGGACTCCGTCGCTAATAGTTTTGTCCTGCCTAGTAGTACAGAAGGCTTCTCAGTTGAACACAGTTTGAATGGTTTCCCTCTCGAGCCGGACGAAAAGCTGCTTGAGGCGATGAAATCTCCAAAGGACCGCCTACTGATTCTTCAGCTGGAGGAGAAAGTCCGCAATTTCATTCAAAATTCGAAGTAAGTGGACGGCTTGTTGCGCTATTCGTTTCGGCATCTGACGTCTAATATAGGGAGCAATCTCTGGAGCTCCCACCTTCAAATGCCTTCGGAAGACTACTCGCGCACAAGTTGGGTGATTATTATCATTTGACCCATTTCGTGGATAACAACGTTACGTCTGTCCGTCTCCATAGGACACCCTTTTGCCGGTTGTATGCAATCCTGCGTCTCCTTGATTTTCTTTTACCAATTTGAGACTTCGTTCTGACTGTTTAGACCGACTCCGCTCTCCGTTTTACATGCTGCCACTCATAGCACCCCACCACCAGCAGTCCCAGCCATGAAAATCATGCGCCGGAATGACGGGGATCGGCCTTCCACCGAAGGAAGCACTGCAGCAAGCTCTTCGGTGCCTTCGAAGACCGCATCGGAGGTAGGCGACAGTGGCAACGACGGCGAACGTGGTTCTTCAGCCGGGGCCACCCCTGCCAAAGATAGGATGGCCTTAACGCGAGAAGAGCGAGAAGCTAAGTACCAGGAAGCAAGAGAGCGGATTTTCCGCGATTTCCCTGAGACGAAATCCTCGGATATCAGTGACCAGGGGACGAGTATGTCACGCTCGAGCTCAACAAGTGGACGCAAGAAAACACACCGACAGAAGACTCCACATGACGACAGCTTTGAGGCCCGCTCTCAATTCAACGCCTACTACCCGGGAATGCACTATAACAATGGGACGGTTCCCTATAATGTGGCACTGAATGATTCTTCATTTTCTAACCAAGCCCCATATATGGTAGGGCCCGGAATGTCTCCTCCGGGTTATGCTCAGGGTGCTCCAAACAGTGCCATGTACTCCAACCACGTCAATCTGAATCCCTTACCTCAATACTCGATACCCGTCTCTCCACAGATGACATCAACTGGTTCATGGCAGAGCGGCGCTGTACCCCAGCAATCTCCTTATTCAGGATACACATCTATGAATCAATCACCGGTAATGGTCACCCAGCAATCGTCGGCGAAGTCATCGCCTGCGCTGAACAGCTACACCATGCCACAATATGCACAGACGCAGTCGACTTGGTCATCGTCCCCGTATGCTGCGGGCTATCAGCCTACACATCGCACCCATCCCACCGCTCATTGGCCGAATTATCCCTCGCAGCCGCCTAATCCGACTTCTTATCCCTATGCTCAATATACAGGGCAACAGTCACTAAACACAGCCATGCAAGCTCATCCAAACTCGCACCCTCTGCCAGGCAGTTTTGCAAGATCCCCATTCAATCCACAGACACGCTCATTTGTACCCGGTGGGACTTCTTTGGCTCGTCACCCGAGCAAGACCAACCAACACAATATGAACTCGTATCCTCCCATGCAGCCCGGTATTCAGACTCAGTGGAATGGATATCAAGACCCGAATAACAAGGCTCAAGAGGGAAGTGCGATGGCGCAAGGCGTGACGCGCGGTGGCCCTCCCGGTAGCAGAGATTCCATTGCAAAATGGGGAACGCCTTCTCATTTGCCTCCAAAACCACCACCGTCCGAGATCCCCTCTGATTTCGAGTTGAAGCATCGAATCACTCCTGCCCCATCGCACTCCTACAATTCCAACATACTGACCAACTCCAAGAACGGGCCTCTTGTCGTTTCAGGAGGGACAAGTCTTCCCAAGATGAACTGATTTCTGCCGCCTGACCATTTGGTTGCATGCTGTTGCATCGTTCAACCTGTTCAACCTGTGTTGTCTCTGGCAGATAGTAGTGTGAAATAGGCTGAGAGAATGTCTGCTCGTTCAAATCAACAACATAAAAGGAGAGGAGATGGAGTCTCGCTATGAGTACGCAAATAGTTGGCTTCATACACCTGCTGTCTCGTGGACGGACTGGCTGAGAAGGGCTGGTTTGCCATATTTTCGGCTATTGATAGTATCGGCCATTTCAATTGTTGACAAAAAGAAGATGAAAATATCTTTCCCAGAGACATAAACCATGGCGCTACCAAATGGAAAAGAGTGTTAAAATCAGCGGGTTCATATGATTGTAGCGACGCCTCCGCGCGGCCAATAGCCATCCCTCTCTCAACCGAAATTGATCAGTCAAGCGCTCTTTGGAATCATTGCACCAGGATAGAAAGAGAAAATGACGATATAGTGACTTCTTCTAGTAGATTACACGAGATCAATACCGACCTAAGGACTTTCGTGAGAATGCGGAATCAACTCCCAAATATACAGGCGTTCTGTTCCAATCGATGCCAAGAGAAAAAGGACATCATATGAAGGACACAAACTATAACTACAAATACAATGATCATCACAGAGCAGTTCCGAACGCACCAAGATCGATAGAGAGATAAGTACCGATGACCCAACTAAGCCCTTGTACCTGTGAAATTCCTCCTGTTGGCCATTGGAACTGGTCCGGCGACAGGGTCTATTGCTTGGACTCCACCTCCTGTTCGCCTTTATGCGTCGTAGGGGCTTTCTTCTGTTCGATTTCTAACCGCTTGATCGCCTGTTCGAGGTACTCGACACCGCCTTTCCGGAACCTTGTCACTTTGTGGACATTCAGGGTTGTTAGCTCGTTGAGAGTCTCGAGGCCCTGTGCTCGCTGTCTCGCAACGGTCCGGGCTGTCATGGCAAATCGCATATCCTTCGGTCCATCAACAAGCTCAAGAATGGCGCTAGGGGCTTGATCATCTTTCTTAGGCTCGACCCGCAGAACTCGTGTGTAACCACCAGGACGTTCGGCGTAGCGCTCACGGAGTGTCCCAAATAGTTTGGGAAGGATTTCATGGGGTGTCTGACGATGAAGTTAGCCACGGCTGTTCGTCAAAGTCTTCGAGAGAAACGGTTCTGTGGTCCCTCAGGCGGGGGAAAACGAAGGCCAATGAGGTTTTCGGTCTCCCCAGAGGACTTTTTGACCAGAATTGGCAGAAAGAGTCAGTAGGAGCACATACATAGAAAACAGACAACGCTCTTCTTCGACTAGCCTCCGTATTCTTCTTGCCTAGGGTTATTAGCTTCTCGGCCAGCCGTTGAGCCTCCTTCGCTTTGGGCCAGGTTGTTGTGATAGACTCGTGCTTGAAAAGCGATGTGACTAAGTTTCGGAGAAGGGCCTGTCGATGCGACGACTTGCGGCTGAGATGACGGTACTTAGCAGCACCACCGGCCATGGTGACAGCTGTGTTGGGAAATCGGTATGGTCCTGGTTTCGGTTGTCTCTTTTTGTCGTTGAATTGCCCTGAATTCGAGCACAAGAGGAGTTGGGCAGGTTATGAAATCGATATTCGGTTGCTTTCGAATGGCAGCAACCGGTTGAATAGCAATGGGACGGGTAGAGAGATGAAGACGCGGTAGTTGTACTTTTCTATGAGACGCTCGACGCTGGTCTGTGATGCCGGATGGAAAGATTCAATTCTGGAACGCTGCGGCCAATCGGAGTCGCGCATTCGGTCCCCCATCTTGTCCGCATAGATTGCAGAGGAAAATGCATGACGGTCTAGGATCCATAAAAGTAATCTATCTTGACATTGCTTCTTATTCTGCATACATAGCTTCTAATTTGATATCTATACCTCACACCAACCGGCATAACGACTGTCCAGCTGTTGTGATTACAGCCGACATCACAGCTCCCTTCTTCCTTGGAGAGCCACTGGTGGTGTGATCCTCCCCCACCTAATCTCAAGTCAACATTGGTGATTCTGTGTAATCTGACAGAGAGGACAAGAGCTACATTATGGGCTTCTTTGCTGGATTTGTAAGTATTTCGCATCGGGCGCGACCGAAAGACCAACAGTCTACAGGATACTGATGAGAGCGCAGTTCAGCGGGTTTGCGTTGACCTCCACGGTCTTATATCTAACAATGCAAGTTCACCGAGCCAATCGCCTCGAGCAGAGCCATATTATCCGTGAACAACTTAGATCGCTGAATTGGATTGCATCACCAATTGGCGCATATGACCGCCGTCTAGCGCCGAAGGACCAGCCGCAGCTTGACCCGGAGAGGTCGCGACTACAGCCTACCTTGAAGGACTTTCTTAAGCATCGCTGGAATGAGGAGGTGGAGACACTGGCTAGAAAGGCATATGAGAGTCGGTGGGAGGACGCAAGAGATACTGCAATCGCAGGATGGAAGGCTGCGATGAGGCTTATGAAGAAGGAATAAAAGGTTTGCTATTCTGTACATGTTTATCGGTGCTGCTTTCTACAGGCAAGCAGCTAGGACCAGATACCTTTGGATTTTCTCTAAGAAGCGTGATTGCATTCTATAATTTTGGGTTTCCTACCCTGTTGTGCTTTGCTTATCGATTCACGCGTTAGCCTGTGCATTCTGCTCCCTGATCCGTATATCCGGTACCTAGGTACGAACCATCGCGCAACACCTTAAGAGATACTCCTGTCCTGAGCCGAGCGAAGGGACTGCTATGCCTTCCCTACAGGCGGCCTCATAGTCAATGCGCGGGTCAACCTGACTAGCGTCCACCTGTACTCTTTCAGGATAGTTTGGAGAGAGACGATGGATCCACGTTGTACTCTCGAAAAGGCCATCATCCTCCAGTTACTGGACCTACTGCTGATCTTGTAAGGCAGTAACCACTGAAGACAATGGAAACACCATACACGGGGTTGCTTTGACTCTCAAATTAGATCTGTCACCACCGCTGAGAGAGTCTTTCAACTGGTGTTTGCCGCCGAATGTGTTGTATCAATGCTCTCATTATCGCTCCAGATGTCTTTGCTCTCCCTCTCAACTGCGCGCATAGCCTGTGCAACTTCTTCAAGTTTGGCAACCACTTCCAAGACACCATTGTTGACCCGATCGAAGTACCGATCGTTGGCCTCTCGCCTTTCTCGGGCTAACAGAATGTCTCTTTCTGTTTCCTCGTCCATATTCCCATGAACGGAAGCTTCCATCTGGACTCTTTCGCCGGTGGGTCCAACGTTTTGGGACCCTCGCCGCGAAGAAGATATCCCTTTGGACTCCAAACCCTTGGCAGCTTCGACTACTTCGTCGGCCTCACTGCGGGCCCAGGCTTGCGCGAGTTTCAGTTGCTTCATACGGAGATCTTCTAGTGCCTCTGAGTGTCTCTCCCCGAACACATGCTCGCTGGTCACTGCGCTGAGCTCGACCTCCGATAGGGCATTTTGCATCTCCTGCCATATGGCTTCGGATCGATCGACTTCACCTCTAGATTGAGTGCGAGAAACAAATGGCGATAAGGAAGTCGCGTCGAAAGAGCCCTGGGTTCGAGAAGGGCGATTGCGTTGCAAAGGAACCGTCTGGCTTCCCCCCGGCGAAGATACAGCTGGCAGGGGCGGGTTCAAAGAGAGATTAGATGCATTATGCGAAGGGGGACCCTGAAAGAGAACAGGGGGCGGAAGACGCTGGGAGCTTATCTTCCGTAAGTTTTCTAACTTCGGAGCGGCGTCCATGATATTGCTGTAATGCAATCGCTTGGACGAAGAGGTGCATCTCCTCCACTAACAATGTAATGGTTAATTAGTATTCTTGTATTCAGTAGAGAGGTACTCCGTAGTACGGAGTAGTCTGTTATCAGTCAGTAACGATGATAGCAACTCCGGATGCTTATCGCTTATCGATAACCGACGGCCAATGTTTCTCCGCTCCGGGGCCTCGCTTAGCGGGCCGTTTAGGGCGAAGGCGCACAGGAGAACATTTTCGCCCCGACGAGACCGCCGGCAGTGAAGGAACATTCGACCTTCGACTTTCGACAACCATCCCATCAGGCCTTTTGGCGATAACTTTTGTTTCCAGTCGGTACGTATGATCTTGTTCCCTTTTTCGGTCTTCTGGATCTTTGCAGGAAAACTTTTGTTTTGCGATCAAAATTGTTCTTCGACCCACACATCCATTTCTGATAAAAACCCGATACCGACTCCCCTCGCAATATCAAGCCCACGACCGTCCGCACAAAGAAGTTTTTCTAACGCAGAATCTCTCTTTCTCTACAGTTGACCGTCCTTCGAACATAATACGCCAAGATGGGTAAGGGAAAGCCCCGTGGTTTGAACGCCGCGCGCAAGCTCGCCAACCACCGCCGTGAGCAGCGCTGGGCCGACTTGCACTACAAGAAGCGCCTTCTCGGTACCGCTTTCAAGTCCTCTCCCTTCGGTGGTGCCTCCCACGCCAAGGGCATCGTCCTCGAAAAGGTCGGAGTTGAGGCCAAGCAGCCCAACTCTGCCATTCGGAAGTGTGTCAAGGTCCAGCTGATTAAGAACGGCAAGAAGGTCACCGCTTTCGGTGGGTAACCCTTTTCTATTCATTATGCACATTGGACGGACTGCTTGGGATGGAAAAGAGATGGAATATTTGATGGATGGCACGACGGATTGGGGAAGTCCAGGATCGGCTTTGGATGGGGAGATGTGGAAGAGAAGCAGAAAAATTTCTGTGATACATGTTCAAATGCTGACTCGACGATCTCTACAGTCCCCAACGACGGTTGCTTGAACTTCATCGACGAGAACGACGAGGTTCTCCTTGCTGGTTTCGGTCGTAAGGGCAAGGCCAAGGGTGATATTCCCGGTGTTCGTTTCAAGGTCGTCAAGGTCTCTGGTGTCGGTCTGCTCGCTCTGTGGAAGGAGAAGAAGGAGAAGCCCCGTTCGTAAACATTTTGTACGAAAGGAAATGGACGATGCCGTGGGAGATTGGTTGCCGGAAAGGGCCCCATTCCATCGAAGCCTGGGAACATATGGTCTATGGTCTGGAAAATTATGGTTCGGGACGGATGACCCTGCAAATACATTGCAGTCACTATGATTGAGATACTCATAAAACATGGCGCCATGATTTTTTATTTCTTTGGGAAGGGCCCGGAATGTCAAATGTTCAAACAATATCTGCTTTGCCCTGTCCCCCACGATATCATGATCCGCCTCTCATGCTTGTAGTTTTTAAACAAATGCGGTACCGAATGGTCGAACTTCAACCTGGACCTATGTAGCTCCGGTTTCGTCAAATAAACGGCCTCGATACGCTATTGTAGACTGGGGTTTACAGGTAAGCTTTATAGATTCCTTTCCTGGGGTATCGACCGTCTCTATTTCCAACGCCTCTGGTTTCCAAGGACTTTTCATGTGATCATTGAGCGTGATTTACTCTTTTTGACCCCAAAATATCACAAGCTCCGTATTTCTCCCCATTGATGAACCATTGTCACACTCCACAGGGACCTAGAAGTTGATGTCCTCCTTGCGGTAGTGGTCTGACACGATCCGGTACAGATAAGATGGCGCATGGCCGCCGCTATCGCAGGAAAAGTCAAAGTCAGTTGTGCTGCTTCTCGTAGCAAATCCAGGAAGTAACTTACAGATTGGTAATATAAAGATCAACAAGTTCCGGAGGAACATAGTCGTACAGGGGGTTCTGCACGTCGACTTGGTCCATCAAATCCCCGTCCTCATACGGGATGACCTTGCTGGCATCTCCATATTCGATCAAAGACTCGAAGTCGAATGGATACACCGGACTGAGTTTGTATACACCGCTGACGACAACAACGGGGGTCTGGTGCACCTTGGCAGCACGAGCAATGACCCGGGTCCCGGCTGCAGCCACCAGCCCGCCGTTAGCAAGGACAGAGTGCGTGCCCAGAATAACCTTGTTGACTCGGGACATGAGAGCAAAGACGGCCGAATCCGGGATTAGAATGACTGTAATACCCAGGGCGATCAGCGGCTTCTGGAATGTATCGGTGCTGAGAATTTCTTCATCAGTGGAAGTGGCACCGCTAACGGTGGTGTGCGTCGCTTCATGATTGTTGGGGTAGGATTCGGCATGGATCACGGTGAACTTGCGCTTTGCGGCGGCCTTGAGAAGGAACTTCTGAACGGTTGTGGAGGAAGTGTGGGTGAGGATTATCTCATTGGAGTGGATGTGGTCGAGAGCATAGGCCGCAATTTGGTCGTCCACCTGTCCCAGTTCATCGATGATCTCTCCAATTCCGTCCAGGACTTCGGCGCGAATATCCCTGGTCGGAGCATGTCCCAGTAATCTACCGGATGGAGAAGCCGATGCGGGAGTACCGGGGAGCGATGTTTCAGGTTCCGGATGTGAGAGCAGATTGAACATTGAGATTGGGGTGGTGGCCAGCGAAGTGAAAGGCGGCCTTGAGGACGACCGCTCAGAGCCCTCGTGGCGGAGTGACAACGGATCGGATGGGTCTATTAAGCAGCGTTAGAGATGAAAGTGACGATTACTAGTATAGGGCGAACGGCGTTTTACCGACCTTCTGGAACACGAGGCGTTTGAGGCTGACCTTCGGATCCAGCATCACTGAGAGTGAAATCACCATCTCTCTCGTCCTCAGCTTCGTCGCGGATGAGACCAAGTACACGGCGAACGATGTTTCCAACCACCATCTCTCTTGGTTGAGCAGCCACCAAGCGCCTCCCCACACTCTGCACCCGTTCAATCAGCTTAGCTGCATCTGTCGTCCTGCAAGCTGAGATGACGCGGAGGAGAAGGTAAGCGGTCGCGGTAGCGCATGACCTGGAATGACGGATCTGTCTCCGCTTGAGAAGCCTGATAAAACTGTTAGAACGGTAGCTCCTTGCGCGAAAGGTATGAGACGCCAGAAACGCACGATATCAGGTTGTCAATGGATGTGTCGATTGGAGTGGTCTTGAGAGACTTGAGAAAAGACGCCAGACCAGGCGTCAAAGCCGCGGAGGTAGATGGCATGGTTGTGTATGAAGGACCCGGTTGAGTTACAGTCAAGACTGCTCAGAGCATGGGTAATCGGACAATATCTTAGTGCCTTGATAGGATCTTGGGCAGTAGTTAGCGGATTGAGTCACTAGGGTCGCACACAGATATTCTAAGAGGGGCAATCAAGGGAACGCACTCAAAGAGCGAAGTGATATGAGAAAGAAAAAGGCGCTTACCAGTGACAAGCCTCGTAATAAGCTCTTAAAGCTAGAAGCTCAACAGAGACTTGGCTCAAAATGACGATGAGGGGAACAATGTGGGATGCTATAGTAACATCTACCTATTGTGAGGGAGTTTTCCGCTCAGATCTGCCGCTCGGCCCAACCAGTGTCACTCCGACTATGAACTCCGAGCTAAAGTACTGCTTGCTACTACGACTATCTACCTACTCCACATCCTCGTCGCCATCTGCTGTTATATCGCCGTGTCTTATCCTAATCCTCTCCTCATTTCTACCTTATTTCTTTCTGATACCCTTTCTCCGCTATATTTCTGGTTTCTTAAACGCATCCTCTGCTAGTTGCTCGCCAATAGGTAGTTCCCTTTATCGACTGCTCCAGCTTCTCCTCTTACTACTCGCAACCCTCCATTGTTGAGATTGGAAAAGCGGAAGTGGTTCCGAAGCACGGGTCGTCGCCTGGCGCATTGAGGTGAGTACAAGTCGTATGTCATCCTCTTGTTGCCATGTCGCGAAGCCATGAGGTGAAGGGGAATCGAAAGGTCGCTGAGTTTGCCGTCGGTATCCTGTAGATAACTGCGCCAGTCCCCGACTCCCGTGGGCCGTGTTGGAAGATGAACTCGTTGAATATCCTATCTTCCCGAGTCATTGGCCAGACATCCAATTCGAATCGTCTCAGACAAAGGTCGCGCTCGCAAGGAGAAATCGGTCCCGTGGTCCCACCGGAGGATCGATCCAAGCTTCGGTCTTATAGTCACGACAATCTTCATTCGCCTGATGTATTGGAGAAAAGCCATAACAATGCTCCTGGAATTTCTTCAGCGGACATAGACTACTCCGAACATACCTTGACTGAGAAAACGCCTTTGATACAGAGCATTCAGAGAGATGGACCGCTTGCTACGAGGAGTACCCTGGGGCTGATTGCAGAGCGTTTCTTTGACGCCATTGCGGAAACGATCAAGTTTATCTTATCAACTTTGGCTGCTCCGGGCATGTTTATAGCGCAGTGCTTTCGAGACGATGATGGACATTACTCCCCAATGGCCCCGGTACGAAAGCTTCGGCGGTCAATGGCTGGCGTTTCCGCTTCCCGTAGGTCAACCTCGGCGAAGAAGGAACCCAAACCAACCGGTACAAGACGACGTAGTGGATCCTCAAGAAAGCTGAGAAGTCATGTATCGCGAGATTCGATCGCATTGAGCACGTCAGATTCGGAAGGAGATCGTCGGAGCACCCAGGGCCTCACGGGTACTCGGGCTCGATCCTCGAAGTCGAAAACCACAGCCCTGGATCCGACTGAAGAAGAGGGTACCCCTCGCCGCTCCATCCGCATCAAGTTACATAATGAAGGTGCGCTGAAGCGAGAGAGGCAGCGCCGGACGCAAAGCGCAGATCTCGGTGCTACTTCGGAAACTGGTGCGGCCGCAGGACAAGGTGCTGTGAGTCCAGACACTCTCAAATCACCCACGTCGCCCTCCGTTCATAAAGTCACCAAATATCCTCATTCACCGGTACCTCCTC